CTTTTTCGCGATAAGGTAATTTCGTATATGTTCTTTTTATCGGGTTTAAAGATTCAGAAAATTGTCATGCATTTTCGTGAAATTTTTCGGTTGATCTTAACATTATGATAACTTGGCGATTTTTTGGCGACCAACTCTCCTACAGCAACCCTCTATTTTTTTTTTCCCGCCGCCATTTTGTCTTCACGAAGTAAGTAAAGACATGTTTCTTTTCTTTTTATCTACTGAACACTTCTTCCAACAATCTACTAGCCGAATTACACTTATGCTAGAAATTTTATCTAACAAAACTGCTTAATCATGACAAATATTCACTGCAAAATTGGGAAAAAAAAAGTGCACAATACCATACTCCTTACGCGTTTTTTCAAAATAACACATACACATAAACCATGTACACGTCGACTTATTTTTTACTTAAAAAAAATCCCAGAATTACACAAAAATGGTATTGTGCACACTCTTTACTATATCCATGTACACTGCTTTTTTCTCATAAATTAGAAAAATTTCACGAAAATACATGACAATTTTCTGAATCCTTAAACCCGATAAAAGAAAAACATATATGAAATTACCTGATCGCGAAAAAAGTAATATACCCTTTCCAAATATGAACATTTCCACATATAAAATAAATAAAAATCCAAAAAACAAAAACCTCTAAAGATCTATTATATTATAAAAACGTCACCAATGAATATTCATAACATACGCAAGCATTACAAATACAAATACTTAAAATATTTAAATTATTTCCATGCACGTTTACTTTCAACTAAAAAAAAATACCAAATTCCTACAAAACATAAAATTCACAAAAATAAACTATCATTTAATTAAAAATATCACTAAACCCATGTCGACTTATTTTTACTTAAAAAAAAAATCCCAGAATTGCACACAAAATGGCATTGCGCACACTCTTCACCATATCCATGTACACTCCTTTTTTCTCATAAATTAGAAAATTTCACGAAAATGCATGACAATTTTCTGAATCTTTAAACCCGTTAAAAAGAACATATATGAAATTACCTGATCGCGAAAAAGTATATACCCTTTCCAAATATGAACATTTCCACGTATAAAATAAATAAAATATCCAAAAACCTTTACCTCTAAATTATCTATTATATTACAAACGTCACCAACGAATTAATACCGCAAACATTACAAATACTTAGTGTCAAATATTTAAATTATTTCCATGCACGTTTACTTCAACTAAAACGTATACCAAATTCCTACAAAACATAAATTCACAAAAATAACTATCATTTAATTTAAAAATATAATTAAATTCAAAAAACACTACTTAAAATATAAATAAGCACATACATTAAATTAATAAAAATAAGCTTACAATCCTAATTACTTTAAACTAAATCATTGCTAATAACAATTTTCCCAATAATACCAAATTACTTTACTTCCACCTTACATTTAGAACAATGCATAAAAATAATATCCTCAAATAATTAAAAATACTAACTTACCTAATCTTCTTCAGAATCTTGAGGTTGATCTTTACAATATGGTAACTGGTAGTTTGGCGACATTTTGGAGGCGATAAAGGTTACTACCTGGGACTTTGGTAATAATGTGAGCAGTACTCAGTTCCGATTACGCATTATTTTGTGTGAGGGAAATGAGAGATCATGGGATATGTCATGTGATGTTAATGGACGAATTACGGTTCTTTAATCGGAAAAGGGGGGAAATCGGGAAAAAATCTGGAAGTTTTGTATTTGGCTTTATTCTGTGTTGTGTGAAACAGTGTTCGTGAATTTTTGGATCCCATGGCCGTAACTAAAGTGAATTCGAAATGGGTATTTATGTATGTATTAATTTAATGTATTTGCTCATTTATATTTTAAGTAGTGTTTTTGAATTTAATTATATTTTAATTAAATGATAGTTATTTTGTGAATTTTATGTTTGTAGGAATTTGGTATACGTTTTAGTTGAAGTAAACGTGCATGGAAATAATTTAAATATCTGACACTAAGTATTTGTAATGGTTGCGGTATGAATTCGTTGGTGACGTGTATAATGTAATAGATGATTTAGAGGTAAAAGTTTTTGGATATTTTATTTATTTTATATGTGGAAATGTTCATATTTGGAAAGGGTAAATACTTTTTACCGATCAGGTAATTTCATATATGTTCTTTTTACCGGGTTTTAAAGATTGAGAAAAATTGTCATGTATTTTCGTGAAATTTTTCTAATTTATGAGAAAAAAAGCAGTGTACATGGATATAGTGAAGAGTGTGCGCAATGCCATTTTTGTGTGCAATTCTGGGATGTTTTTTTAAGTAAAAATAAGTCGACGTGTACATGGTTTAGTGATATTTTAATTAAATGATAGTTATTTTTGTGAATTTTATGTTTGTAGGAATTTGGTACACGTTTAAGTTGAAGTAACGTGCATGGAAATAATTTAAATTTTTTGATACTAAGTATTTGTAATGCTTGCGGTATGAATTCGTTGGTGACGTGTATAATGTAAATAGATGATTTAGAGGTTTTTGGATATTTTATTTATTTATATGTGGAAATGTTCATATTTGGAAAGGGTAAATACTTTTTCGCGATCAGGTAATTTCATATATGTTCTTTTTACCGGGTTTAAAGATTGAGAAAATTGTCATGTATTTTCGTGAAATTTTTCTAATTTATGAGAAAAAAGCAGTGTACATGGATATAGTGAAGAGTGTGAGCAATGCCATTTTTGTGCAATTCTGGAATGTTTTTTTAAGTAAAAATAAGTTGGCGTGTACATGGTTTATGTGTATGTGTTATTTTGAAAAACGCGTAAGGAGTATGGTATTGTGCACTTTTTCCCAATTTTGCAGTGAATATTTGTCATGATTAAGCAGTTTTGTTAGATAAAATTTCTAGCATAAGTGTAATTCGGCTAGTAGATTGTTGGAAGAAGTGTTCAGTAGATAAAAAGAAAAGAAACATGTCTTTACTTCATGAAGACAAAATGGCGGCGGGAAAAAAAAATAGAGGGTTGCTGTAGGAGAGTTGGTCGCCAAATTTTCGCCAAAAAAACGTCAAGTTCCCATAATGTAAAGATCAACCAATCTTGATTATGTGTCCGATAAACTTTTCTTATTTTTGTTTCAGGATCTTTAAAATCATACTTATAGTTCACAGCAAGGTACCAGGTAAAATAAATAACTTAATAAAACATCTTTACTTCTATCTTGCACAATCTTAAAGAAACACGTATTACTACCCCCTTCAATCCCACTAAATACCCATTTCGAATTCACTTTAGTTAGGGCCATGGGATCCAAAAATTAACGAACACTGTTTCACACAACACGAATAAAGCCAAATACAAAATTTCCCAGATTTTTTTTTTTTACCGATTTCCCCCCCTTTTTCCGATTAAAAAGAACCGTATTCGTCCATTAATATCACATGACATATCCCATGATCTCTCATTTCCCTCACCACAAAAATAATGCGTAATCGGAAGAATGAGTACTGCTCACGTTATTACCAAAGTCCCAGGTAGTAACCTTTATCGCCTCCAAAATGTCGCCAAACTACCAGTTACCATATTCTAAAGATCAGCCATTTTTCTAATTTATGAGAAAAAAGCAGTGTACATGGATATAGTGAAGAGTGTGCTTAATGCCATTTTTGTGCAATTCTGGGATGTTTTTTTAAGTAAAAATAAGTCGACGTGTACATGGTTTATGTGTATGTGTTATTGTGAAAAACGCACAAGGAGCTTGTGATTGTGCACTCTTTCCAAATTTTGCAGTGAATATTTGTCATGATTAAGCAGTTTTGTTAGATAAAATTTTTAGTATAAGTGTAATTTGGCTAGTAGATTGTTGGAAAAAGTGTTCAGTAAATAAAAAGAAAAGAAACATGTCTTTACTTCGTGAAGACAAAATGGCGGCGGAAAAAAAAAAATAGAGTGTTGCTGTAGCAGAGTTGGTCGCCAAATTTTCGCCAAGTTACCATAATCCAAAGATCAACCGACTTTTTTTGTAAAAGTCTCTTTCTGATCGAACGCTTCACATAGTGACCATCTGGACCTTTCTTCCTACAAACCCATCTAAACGGTTTTTACGTTCGACTAGACGCATATCCTTCCTACATACAGGACACTTACAATGGCTTCTAAGTAAACCTTCAATTACACACCAATCAATTAAAGCTCATTTCCCCTTTCGCTCCAAATCATACAGAAACTTCAAATTAATCTTATTACATTCGGCCATTCTACCGTCTAAAGAATCAAACCAACACACACCACAGAAACGCTTACAAAACATGCCATGATTCAAAATTTCCCAGAATCATGCACCCAATTACGTCACAATAGGGTTTCCATAACATTCAACTACTCAGGCTACCATTAATGAAACAACACCTCGGTGATAAATCAAACAACAACTTCGCTATAATACAAGGGGTACCTTTAAGTCTACTCTACTCCTAATATTTAGTACAAATGGGATTTGGGGACATTATGATGAGCAGTAAACGTGTCATTTTGGTGTTGGCGACATTTTTCAAAATCGCGCCTAGGCCTTACCGTATACTAGGATTGTCAAAACTTCAATTAATATTAACTCCAAAATAAAGGAACAGTAAACATTTCGAGAGGAAAGTGCAAAATCGCCCACTGCTTCGCGCGTGTCTCAAAATCGCCAATTTCAAAATAACAAGTCAAAGAAGGCACAAACTCGGTATCCATGTACACATCAACATATTTTCAGTTTAAAAAAAAATTAGAGAATTGCACAAACTTGGCATTGCGCACTCCCTTGACTTTGTCCACGTACACATCGATACATGACATATCAGTGGGCCATTCTGCCCTTTACCGCATTTCAAAACATAACAATAATACGATTTACATTACATAAATAATTAAACAAGCTAAACCTCTTAACATATCAATATACTTAAATAAAATCAGCATCATGATGTTTAATTTTCTTCCTGCATATACAGAACCTTACCATTCTTTATAATTAACTTTCCTTTTTTTCGGCATTTTAAATTACAAATGACAATGAACACTGCTTTCAAAATTCGTCCCGGTATCTCCTTTCCTTCACACGTGCTGCTAATTTCGTAGGATAACAAGGAATTGTAAACAGGAAATTTAATGTTGCCATCGGAAGTGAATATTCTATCATATAACCTATGCGTTTGATTTTGAATATTTCCTTATTTTCTTCTGATTTTGGTATATGTACCATTTAAGTGAGTTAGGGGTCGAGTCTAAATTTTACCCAATTATTAAAGGGGCGAATTCAAGTGCAACGCTCTGATAAATTGCAAATGTTAGCTCGCAAGAGGCGTTCCTGCTATCGGCTGCTAAAGTCGAATTCAAGTGCAACGCTTTACCGCTCTGGTAACTGATGACGTCAAAATTGCAATGGGGAGCTGGTTTGCTCTCGTGCCAGGAGAGCTTGTCCGATAAACTACATCAATATCCAATGAGACTGCGTGTCGATGTAAACAAAAAACATCAGTTCCCATGATTCCTCTGAGCTTATGGTCAAGTGTTTACTGCGTTGTAGTGTGGTGTAACGAAGTGTTCCAGTCCTGAAAACGAAGGAAATATACAGACATGTAATGTAATGTGTACAACTTTATTTACTTTATCCTATAGAAAATTCCCTCCAAAGTAATCTAGAGCAACAGGTGTGTGTAAAATATATTTTACTTTTCAGACAAAAATACTTGCTTTTTTAAATATAAACCACAATTTTTTTCCCATTTTCAAATTACAGCATTTGGTTTTAATTCTTCTAATAGTAAGTTTAATTTAAAATTCAAATTTGTGTTATATTTTTATTGTTCAATGCAGATGCATGATTCTTCAGTGACAGTAGGCATGTTTACCATATGAAATTTAACTAGTTCTTGAATTATATAGTAATTAATAAGCCCATCTATGTGCAAGCAGATAAGCCTGCTGAACACCGCTATCCCAGTCTCTCTTTAAATCCAGGTGAAAAAGCTAGCTGCATGAGTGTTCTCTTCATTTTTTCAATGTATAACATGAATACTAAGTTTTCCATGCAGGCATTCCTTCCCTTAGACATTCATTATGTGATGCAGCAGTTAAAGAGCAATTTTAAGGTTTATATTGTACATCGTTGGGAAAATATAAAAATGAAATTAAAGGTATTTTAATATAATACAATAAATAAAAATTATATGAAACTCTGCTGAATTGTAGTAAGTGCTAATTCTAATGTGATATTAATGTAATATATACATCCAGAGTAAAGGTTTAATTTATAAATTATGCTTTGTGTTCTGCTCATTATATTGTGCATTTACAGTACACTTTCTGCTTCTTAAGTGAAAGTTTGGACCCATTCTCGTTTGATATCAGTTATGTTCAGATTTATTTATTTCATAAAATTTCAAAAAACAATTTTTGGCTATTAAAAGCTACAAGTGCAGAAACAAAAGCTTAATTTCTTTACTGTAACTGTGTCATGCTTCTCTGCTGATAATGAAAGTCGTCTTTTAATAAGATTTCTTTCATTGCATATATTAATTATATCTTTTACCATACTGGTTGCCATCTTTCATTGTGCATTCTTCAATATTTTTTGGTACTTACGTATTAACACAAACACCTGGATCAGTTTGGTGGTCTTTATAAATGAAAAGAGAAAAATACTTATCAGGAGAAGTACGTTGTTTTTGCAGCTTGCTTTTAGCATAACCAAACTATCAATATTTATCTAAGTTGGCAAAATGTTATAAAACATATCAAAGGAAAAAAAAACATTTAACAAATTTTAAAATACTAATTTGAATTATTAAATAAAAATTATATGATAGTTTAAAAAAAATACATTTTCCACAAATTTTTTGTCTAATGTTTTCACTGCTTGTGCCAAGTGATCTGTTTTCACTTAAAAAAAAAAAAAAAAAAAAAATCAGAGAATTACATAAAGTTGATACTGCATGCCTTGTCTATGTACCAAATTCATCTCATAGTTGTTTCCATTAGAAATTTTTGTACTAAAATGTTCTATTCCTGCAGAACTTTTAACACAGCTTCGTCTTTTGATGGTAAGCTCCACAAGCAGTATTTTAAATCTGAAATTAATCTAAAACAACTATTCGTATCTAAAAACCATTGGAACTTGAAATACAACATAAGAAACACATATGAAAATGGTGACATTGCTTGAATGAAAAATTGTCATGAGCATGTTACCTGAAAAATTTTGATACATAATCATTGCCAGAGTTTGGCACATTTTTGAAAATTTGGTAACTTTTATTAAGGTGGTTTCAAATAATATGCAAATATCTTTTATTCTTATGATTGCTTCATTGTATACTTTTTCCCTTTCCCTAGAGTGCAGTACAATACCACAAGTTTTCCAGCCAAATGCGGTATGCATTTCAAGTTTCTATACATTTATATAAATTTTAAGAGAGTAAAATATTGACAAAAACTGCATTAAGTTTTCAACTCTTGTTTTGTTTTTCATTAAAAATTTGCTACCATTATGTATAATTCATTTTTTTAATGTAAATGTTTTTAAGTATTTGTAGGATAAAGGCAAATTACACTTATTCATTCTTTCTTTGATATAATACATGTAGCTCTTTACCTGAAATCAATGTTTGTCAAATTATTGTGCATAAATTAGAAGTATGCATGTTTCTCTTAAGTCAGTTATGTTTCAGGAACTATCTTTAATGAATTGTATAGAAAATTGTGGACGAGGTGTTAGGTGTACAGGAACATGGTATATTATAAACATGTATAGTATCTCGTAGTATATAAACTCATAACTTTGATTATGCAGTATGCTTTGTATATTATTTCTGAAAGCATGTATATTTCAATCAAGATTGTTGAGGTTAATTGTGCTTCTTTTATGCTATCTCTGAAAGCATGCATATTTCAATCAAGATTGTTGAGTAAACTTTTCTGACTTTATGCTATCTCTGAAAGCATGTATATTTCAATCAAGATTGTTGAGTAAACTTTTCTTACTTTATGCTATCTCTGAAAGCATGTATATTTCAGTCAAGATTGTTGAGTAAATTGTGCTTATTTTATGCTTTTTTCTTTTTTACATTAGAAAATTCCACACTTTTATCACGAGGATGACATTTAGGAATGACAAGTTTGTATCTATTACATAAAATCTAATGTTTTCTGGATTCTTCTTTTCTTTTTCCTCCCAACAGAAAAAACTTTAATGGTATAAATCAGCGGTTTTAAACCTTTTGACTTATAGTGTACCATCTAAGCAAAAACTGAAAAACATTAATACCACCACTAATTTTACAATGATTGTTTTTCAATTCCTCAATAGAAATATAAAAAACACATATATATATATATTGCCATTTGCACACTCTTTGTATTAAATATGTACACATAAAAAACTATTAGATTAAAAACTGATGATTACTTAATTATCAAAATTAAATTAATTATTCACTTGATTATCAAAATTTCAGTTATAATACTTTAATATTTAATTTCTTTATGTCTGCTCTTATTTCATTTAATGGTAAATTAGGATCCACTTTTTATTTTGGTGAGTATTTATATTTCAAATTTAACATGGAAAAAATCATTTTTCACACAAACAGGTTGTGCGAAAAGACAATACAAATTTGATAGCTTTATTTGAAATGCCTTTAAATTCTTTTTTTCGGTTCAGCCAAAAGTTAACAAGTGTGTCATTTTCCAAATCTTCAAGTCAATTTCGATCAAAGGAAATTTCTATTAACTATTCTTTTCTTTATGAGATTTTTGAATTTCATAAAGAAGTTAGAATAGTTAAAAATATTTTGTTTCTTTGCATACCACCGGCTGAGAACCGCTGGTATAAATTAATTATAACAGATGTAAATTAATATTTCTCATACAAAAGAGTTATTTCAATTCTTTATTGCGAACATTATATACAGAGTATGTCTTTTATTAACAACAAGATTTTAAGAATTTAAAATAATAATCATTAAATCCTCTTGATCTATAAACAGTCTTAAAAATTATAAAGGGAAAAAAATTGAAAGTTAAAGAAATCAATATTATGAATTGTTCCTTTTTAGAGAAGTTTCATTGTTTAATTAATTATAAAAAGTGTTTTACATTATGAAATATAAAAATTAAGAATATTTGAATTTGAATGAATATTTTAAAATTTTCCCTCAGATAGAAGCTCAACTATTCGAAGCAGGAGACCGAAGAGAGAAAAAGGAAGAGAGATGATATTACAGCTGCAGAAAAGGAAATAATTGAAACGCAGAAGAAGAAGAAGAATATATTAATGTACTGTGTGAAATATGTGACTTGTATAAGCAATCAGTTGCAAATCAGACTGCTGTCATAGAAAATCAAAATATAATTATTAATTTATTAAAAAAATAAATCATGCATTTCATTTCAAATATTACAGTGTTTTCATTCTTGTATATATTTCTGCAGTGTGGGATTCATATTTTAATTGTAAAATTTACTACTTTCTTAATTTTATTAAAATTTTGTGATTATGAAAAATTATTTAAAAGAAATTCACAGATCCATTATATGACATAAACATTATAATAATTCTAATACCACTATTATAAGTCTCGTGAAAATATTTATGCATTTTACACAGCAATTAATTATCTTTTTCCTGGAGGAAAATGGGAATAAGACCTGTAAGAATCTTTAGTCAATGTATTACAAATTTTAATTTTCAGATATAACACGAAATGAATTAAATTGTTTTTCAATTATGTTAATAAGTTATATGAATGAGATGTGGTATTAAAAATTTCATTTCTTTTTATCATTGAAGAAATAACATTCGATATCCTACAGCTCCATAACAATGGCAGATAAAATTGGCATTCTAATTTCGAAGTTCTAAAAATACAGAGTAACTTAAAGATGACAACTATTAAAGTATGGCTAATGTCTAGTTTACAATAACAATGTTGAGTCGCCTACTACAAAATTAAGTGAATCAGACTGTATTTATTTTCCCCTTCTCTTTTTTTGGCTGAAAAACAATTTATTATACACTCATGATTTTACTTAAATGTATTTCTTTTAATGGCAAACCCACTGAGGTAAGTATGCAGTAAGTTATTATAGTGA